GAAATTAAGGCAGCTCTCTCTGGTATGGACAAGAAGGCTTTAGGAATGGATGGTATTAGGGCAAAGGATATCAGAAAGATAGGACTTAATTTCTTCGCTGGTTTATTTAATATCTTCATCGCCACAGGGCACCTGCCACGCCAGCTCACGAGGTCTAGGATAACCTTCATCCCAAAGACAACCAACCCACTCACCCCAGGCGACTTTAGACCCATCTCTGTCTCCTCAGTAATATGTAGGTGCCTAAACAAGGTTATAGCAAGGAGATGGGTGAAAGACCTTCAAATAAGCTCTACTCAATTCGCCTTCCTCCAGAGGGATGGATGCCTCGAAGCCACCACCTGCCTAAACGCCATTTTAAAACACGCGCACACTGAGAGGAAACCCCTCGCTATGTGCTCGATAGACGTCGCCAAGGCTTTCGATTCAGTTTCTCATGACACAATTATTCGGGCAGCAACCATGTACGGAGCACCCGCACCCTTAGCGTCATATATCAAATCGTCCTACGAAAACGCAGAGGCTTGGATAGATGGAAAAGCCTTCAATGTCAGACGAGGGGTCCGTCAAGGAGACCCGCTCTCACCACTTCTCTTCATCATATGCATGGATGAAGTCGTTAAGAAGAGCTCGCCGGGACTAGGTTTTGATTTTGGCTCAACTAAGGTAGACTCTCTAGCATACGCGGACGACTTAATAGTCTTAGCAAACACCCCACAAGAACTCCAGAGGAAGTTAGACGGCTTAGATAAAGCACTCCAGGAGGCGGGTATGCGTATAAACGCGGAGAAATCAGGATCGCTAACCCTGGCAATCGACGGTAAGAGGAAGACAACAGTAACATTACAATCTAACTACGCGGTGGGACCAGACACGATCAAGGCCATGAAGCCAGGAGACTGCTTCAAATACCTAGGCTTAGATTTCAACCAGGGTGGGATAGCTAGGAGAAACTTAATAGACACTCTAGGGGCAATGCTTAGGGAGGTAGATGACGCTCCCCTGAAACCACATCAGAGGCTGCGTATTCTACAGATTTACCTGATCCCGCGACTCCAATACGCCATCCTGGCTCACCCCATGGGTGAAACCATCATGCGGGCTATGGATCGCATGATCCGTATCCACCTGAAGAAGTGGCTCCACTTAACACATGACACCCCAAATGCCTACTTCTACACAGCAATTCAAGACGGCGGGCTAGGCATAGAATGCTTACACACAGCAGTCCCAGTTAGGCGAGTAGCCCGCCTTAGGACTCTACAATCCTCCACGTGCCCAGCAGTGAAAGCAGCCTTGGAAAAGGCGGCGATACAACCAACAATCAGGCGTATGTCTAGGGGAGCCAAGATAGGGGGAAGAAGATACTACAATAAGGTAGATGTAAGGAAAGCGTGGAGGGAGGAATGGATAGGGAGACTGGATGGCATAGGTATGAAAGACGCACAGAGGACGCGGGCATCACATAGATGGCTTCGGAAGACAGACACAGTCTTCCCGAGAATCTTTATAAGGGGAATACAACTTAGAGGAAACCTACTAGGCACTAAGGTAAGGGCGTCTAGAGGACGCAAACTACAGGGAGGGGGAGATGACTTAAGATGTAAATGTGGTAGTGGACACAAAGAAAGCCTATCACACATCCTGCAAAGATGCAGAATAACACATGGACCTCGGATTGCCCGGCACGATAGGATAGCGTCTAGCTTAGCAGAGGCCGTCAGCCAAAAGGGCTATAAAGTCCTTCAGGAACCCCAGGTGAAATCTTTCGGCTCGTACTTTAAGCCAGACATCGTAGCAATTAAAGGAGGCACGGCCTACGTCATCGATGTTAAGGTGACTGTAGACAATACCCTACGGCAATCCTGGAGAACCAAGGTTAGGAAATACGACGACATAGATAGGAATAGACACCTCAAAAACCACCTAAAGAGCATAGGTATCTCAGTAAATAGGTTCATCCACTATCCATTCATAATAAGCATGAAGGGACTTCTGTACGAGGGAAGCGAACGCGCGATGCTGCGACTGGGAATATCAAAATGGACACTCTCTGATCTATGCCTGCTGACAATCGTCGGGTCTCTGAAGTGCTACGACGCTTTCTACTTGGACAATGGACGGGGGTAAGTCAGAAACTTAATATTACTTGCATGTTGTGCTTTCTTCCTATTTATTTCCAGATGGACGGCCATCCCCCTGTAAGGTAGGTTTCACACTATATTTTTCCTATGTTTGTCCCCGAGGTAAGAAAGCTGGGGTTGCAGAGCGCGGTAAGGAAGCACTAAGAGACCACCTGGTATCATCACGGAGTCAATATTCTCTCCAAAAGGATCCATGTCATCACAAAATCTTACCACGCTCGAAAACCCCAGCACTCGGGTATCGCGGTCTAACTTTCCCTTCCGAATTTTTACAGAGGATCAGGGGTGATGGTAGCAAGTGACAAGTCCCTAGCGCGGCGTCGCTGGCAGCCGTCTTCAAACAGCCTCTCGATGAAGCTCTGGCCATCTCAACCTGGACGAGCGTAAGGAGTCTTCAGATAATGATTGATTCCGAAACTCGCACAATTGCGTTGCTAACACCACGCACGCACCAAGGGGCTGAAATGCCCCGGGTACCGTCGTCCGTGCAAGCAATAATAATAATAGCGATAAATTGTGAAACCGAGGTTGAAACGTACAACCACAGAGCAGCATGATATTGATAACACAGTTATCTTTACAAATAAAACAAAATAAAAATGCTATAAGTTTATATGCACAGTTATCCGGTGTCACCGGGAGAGATAACTATGTTAGGTTGGAGATGAAGGCCAAGGGAGGGAGAGATAATGAACAAAAACTATTTCTGAACACAGAGATTGAGTTGAAAAATCTTCGTGGCAACTGTCTCAGCTATGCTTAGCAACCAAAGACGTAACAACCTGGGGAGTTGAGGTGTGGCACCCTGCATAAAATTGTAAAAGCTGCATTTTTGTCAATCTTATACTCCATACCCACTAGGTGTGTCAGTACGGAACAACTTCTGATTGACTTTACAACTCCTTTACCTCACCAAGTAAGACGGTACTACAGAAGGCGACGGTGGGCTTGACGAATCGTTCTACCTATGTAACTGTCTCCACATGAGCAATTAAATTTATAAATGTACGTTGAAATGGCCAGAATCGGTAGCTTATCCTTCATCTGGGTTGGAATTATACAACGATTGAAGAATTTTAAACACAGTAATGCGACAAAGAATGTTTTAGTTATTATTTTTCGAAATTACGATGCCAGCCAGCAATTCAGTTGCTGCATCTCCATTAAAAACAGTAAAGTCATGCGCATACGTTTCTTCTGCACAGTTTGCAGGCATTTCTTTCTATCTCTTCTCTGATAGGATCCCACACACTTTGTTATTGTTCAATTATCTTAACGACTGTTAATCTCGCATAAGTGGTATATCATCATTTCCCACGCATTTTGTTATTGACTATTACGACCAATTATTTCAAATACTGTTAGCTGTCTGTATTGGTTGTAAAAATGTATAAATACCATTTCTTAAATAAGTTTCTTGGTCGTAGTCGTAGTTTGTCGTAGTTGTTGTACTACAATACACAGTCACAGACCAGACTTTGTCTTTTGATATTTGCGTGGTTCGCTGAATCGGAAGGTACCAGAAGCAGATAGGCATATTAGTCAGGCGCAGATAGAATAAGGCGACAACGTCCTCATTTAATTTCCCTACCGTTATAACATTCTCCTCACCTCCTGGATACTTTGATAAATTTTTCTGATGAGTATACATTCTTGTATAAGTTTCCCCATTTTTCTTATTTCATCGTTCAAAGTGTCGGTTGTGCAGATGTTTCTCGCACGAAACATCAAGGTACTGGTGAAATTTCGTTTGTATGCAACAGGAATAAACCATCTGAAATGGGTGTGTATTGACCAACCTACGACTGCTTCCGGAAAATACCCCCCCCCCACTCAATACTGCCACCATCTTGCCTTCTTGTTAGTAGGACATCACAGGAAATGATAAGGTGTCAATCTTTCTCTGTTTTATAAGTGGGTTCACAATTTGTGAGTGAGTTAGATTGAATGTTTTGAGAATGGACCTTGGTATTGATTTTATCACACTATGCAGGATAAAAGTATCGTCTAGATATCTACAGTAGAACATCGTTAGCCATTAATTGACATTCCTGAACTATGATGCTACATTTTATTAACCACATTACTTCAAATGCCTATCATTAATATATCATTATATAATTGTTAAGCCTGATGAGGATTTATCGCAAATGCGTATTAGCTTGCTTAAATCGTGTGCCATTTCGCACTAGGTCACACACAAGACTATGTTGTTGTTATATCTGAATTATCCGGACTAGGCTTGTCACATTCATCAGAGCTCTGAGCCGTAATTATATCCAAAATGAAACACGTCGAACACGATTTAAACTCAGGAATAATAAAGGCACTATCTGACATAAATGAAACTCTCCACTGACGAAAATCCAAGTCATTCACTCTATTCAAGATCAGATGGCCGGCCAGAAAAGATCAGTAACAGAGATCTCTGGCAATGAGCGAACCAACCAGGGACCGATTATGCAACAACTAAGCAGGAAGAAATGGAGGTGGATTGGCTGGCCATACTCTCAGGAAACCATCAAGTGAGTGACATCACTAGACCAGCCATTGCTCGAGTGGAACCCGACTAAGGGAAGCGGTGAGTTGGTCGTCAGTGCAAGGGTGACTTGGAGGAGGTCATGTGAAGATGAGATGAAAGCATGTGGGCAGACTTGGAGCCAGGTGAAAACTTTAGCGGAGAACCGAACGCAATGGAGACGCACGGCTGAAGCCCTAGTGTTCCTCTAGGAATTAAAGGAAATAATAATAATAATGACGACTACCCACCAAATTCACAATCGGTCAACAATAAAAAATAGGAAATAACCAAGAGATAAAAAATAAAGGAAAAGATATTGGACATGAACCACATACCTTGCACACCATCAATTCTCTTTCCCTCCTTTCAGCAACGCCTCTTTCCTCATCACGAATTTCTTGCATCTGCAATATATAAAAGAAGTGATAATAGTATTCTAACAGGGAATATATAGGACAACAAATACTAGTAAAACGCATGCCCTGCCTGGCTAGACATTAAGCCAACAGATAGATATAATAAGGATAATTTGCTCATTGGTCCTCTCTAACCGATGTCAGTCCATGATGAAATCCTGAAAACAAATCCCTGCAAACCAACACTTCAATATCAATCTGATGCTTGTCCTAGTTTGGGAGTCTTCGTCAGTAAGCACCCATCGGGGTTCCAACCCAGGACATTCTGGTTACGAGGCGAGCTCTTACACCATTAGGCTACTCGAACCCGATCCAATGGCCCATGAATTCTAACTTCTGCTATTCATCTTATTACGTAACTGCATTATGCTTATTCAACCTCTTTTATGTGTTGATTAACATCAATAATTATGTTTTGACAACGCATCACCACTACCCACTTACTAGTCTTCACCACCAATCCTAGTTACAGTTGGATTACTCATCACACTTTTGAAATATTTTGACAACAATAACCCTAACTTATTTTTACCCTTATCGGACAAATCTAATAGAAACACACACACATACAAAAATAAGTATATGTGATCGCGATTGTACAGTTAAGTGAACGGATTCACCAAAAAAGAGACTCCTTGTCATCCAGTTATTAATCTGTCTGTCTGTCTGTTTTCGACATAGAGCTTTGCACCGATATAGTTTCATTGGAAATTATAAGTCACAAGGAGTGGATGCATCTGCGACAGCCATTTAGAACGATTTTGAGCCATGTCACCAATTGTTTCCAACCATTGGTTTTTACCATACCAAGGACCCCAACCAGGAAGTCTACACCTTCCTACATGACTGGCTTAAACTAACTGTTGTGGGATTTCATTAACTGGTGCCATGTTTTGGTTTGATCGCCGCTAGCTCTTTTCCAGCCTGACCGTATATCAGCTAACATTGCCCATTGTCGAGGAAGGCGATGACTACGCATACGTAACACATGTCCTAACCATCTCAGTCAATGTAATTTCACAACCTCATCGATTGATTTCCCCTCCTCACCTAGCACTCGACGCCTAACCTCAATATTGCTCACCTTATTATACCACTTCACACTGGAAATAGAACGCAGACACCTATGATCGAAGACAGCTAATCTTTTCATGTCTTCCACTCTCAGTGGCCAGGTCTCACAGCCATAAAGGAGGACGGAGCGAACTGATGAGCAGTACACACGCCCTTTGGTCGATAGTCAGATATCCCGTCTACACCAGAGACGGCATAAACTGGCATATGCGAAATTAGCCCTCTGTATCCGTGCTGAGATTTCGTCAGAGATCAACCCATTGGGGCTAATGGTACTTCCCAAATAAGTTATTAATACTGCATCATCACTTTGTGCAATATTTAAAATAAACTTATAAAATATGGAATTACCTTCTAACACACGCAGTACCCAAGTTCTACACTGACATTATTGGAAGTGCGTGTTAAGTTCCGTGTTAATTAGTCAACTAGTCAGTTATTTATTCATTTCCCACATGAAGTGTCCCTCCGGCAGGTCACTAGTTTAAACAGTGATTAAGTTCATTATTGAAAGCAAGAAAATTAAGGCTACATATAAAACTCAACACATCCTATAAAATATGAATGTCTGTGCATCATAAAGGGGGGGGGGGAAACTAACCAGTTTATGAATGTGCTCCGGAAACTCTTCCACCTTCATGAAAGTTTCATTCAACTCAGGATTCACGAGGCGATACATCAAGAAATAGGCATTTGAATGACTTAAATAACTTGACTGATTAGTACCAAAAGTTGCTTCCAATGCCTCCAGAGTTGTAGGCGTAACATACTGGTCATTGAATTTATACCAAAGACCGTCTGTGAATGACCTGGGTGAAATTTAACCAAAAATAAAATAATCAATAACAGAACACACCAATGAGAGTTTTAGAAACGCAGAATACAAAACAATTAAAAACGATCATGTTAAAAGAGTTCAATATGATGGGAGATATTGATTAAGTTGCGGCGTCAGCAGAAGGAAGCAAAAGCAAAACCACACCACGAGAACCTGTGTAAACTCGCCCAGTTTACCAGCCATAACTAAGGCCAAAAAAGAAGGGGCGTTAATGACCGTATCCCAGAAACCCAATCTAATCACTACAGAAACCACCAAAAAACATAGAAAACAAACTTAATCTTCGTTGGAATCGGAAAAATCAAATGGAACAGGTTGGTGAAAGCCTTCGGGAACCCACCCAGTCAGCACGATGTTCAAAGCTACGAAGACTGTTCATAGATTGAAAAAATATAGTACAGAATGGCTAGGAATGTGTGAGAGCAGATGGAATGGATATGGTCTCTTAAAATTGTTAACTGAACTGTCAATAGTCTACTCCGGTCATCCAGGCGATAACCACAACCTCTCAAGATTTAAGTTCTAAATTTGATAGTTACTGACTTTGCAAACGTTTAGGTGCCAATTTCAGGTTGTCAAATAGTCAAAAGGTTTCCACCACCATGTACAGATTCCTGGATTGGGCTATGCGGTACATCTATATCTACAATACATTGCTTTACCTCGACCCGGTTTATTGGCTGGTGGTCCCTAAGCCCTGGAAAACAGGGAAGCTTGAGAGTGGTAAGGATACAGACCCTACTTTGTTAAAGACGATGCCATCTCTAGTGAGGCTTCAGAACGACTTACGCTCAATATAACGAATGCCTAAAATTTATTTTGAACAAACCAATCAAGCATGGTTTTATAAAATGATTACTACTTGACGAAAAACCCAATACAAACATTAGATAACACAATCAAAATAACATTCAATAAACTAACGAAATCAGGACAAATTGCAAAACCAGATGAATGGCGAATGAAATCTAACGGACCTGTTTTGCCCCAATTTTACGGTAGACCGAAACTACACAAACCAAACGCCTCCATACGACTACTCATTCCCGCTACCAGGAACACCAAGATATAATCTGTTTAAGAAACTTTTCAGAAAATTAAAATGTCTAATAGAATCATGCCACCATTCTATCAATTCGCTAATTCAATATTTAGAGGAAACAAAAAACATTCAAGTAGATCACGCTAGTGGAATCATGGTGTCATTTGATGTCACAGCATTATATACTTCAATTAGTTCAAAAGTGGCAGAAGAAACTATGCAACACCTACTCTATGTGCATGAATACACAAAAACGCAATGCTCAAAACTTGCACGGAACTCATAGAATTATGTTTTACAACACATATTTCCAATTCAATGATCACATATACGAAAAGATGAAAGGAACATCAATGGGATCTCCAATACCAGGATTAAAACTCGAAGCTGCGTTATGCAAAGATAAGAATTGATAGTCTTCCCCCTATCCCCGATTAATCCGAAAATCTGGATACGTACGTTAATGTTGATGATTGATAATTGATTCGTAATAATTAAGAGAAATGTGATTTAGAACACACCCACAAATCAATCAACAACATGTTTGAAGACATTAAATTCACCACGAGAAAAAAAGAAGAATTAGACAACAAAATTCCATTGTCACATGTCTTAATCAAGGAAATTTAGAAACACAAGTGTACAGAAATTCAGCACACACGCACGCATATATCAAATACTCAACTATGACAGCAATAACACAATGACCCATGTAAAAGAAACTGTATGCAGACATTGCTTAAACAAAGTTCAAACAAATTGTAGCACTCCACTGTTGAAGAGAATAGAAGAGAAATAAAGAACCTACTAACCATCTTCAAAAAGAATAAATACCTACACAATTAATAATATATGTGTAAAACTTGGGCACTGTGGTAGTAAGTAAATGCATATTAGTTTATTTATTAGATGGATATATCACACAGTGAAACAGTATTATTTACTGGATGACGTTTCGAACAAAATTTATTGTTCACAACCATTTCACCAGTTATAACCACATGACTTCGAAACTTGAGTTCTATAGCTTCCTTTGTCCTTTCCTATTTGTCGTCGTTGGGGTAGTAGAATTTTCCAGATATCTGGGTGGACAGGTGATGAATCATTCCTATTGCACGTAATCTCTTCAGTTGATTCGATAAACAAACCTCCCCTTATCAATCTCTCCCTCTACCCTGCTGTTGCATTAGATTTTAAAACTGTCATCCTATCCCATCCTATTGTGTGGTTGTGTGTAACTGCATGTAGTGCTCTCTAGATTTCTTATCTTACTCGGGTCAACCAATCTAGATTTTGCTAGGTTTTTATGTTCAGCTAGTCTGATAGGATGACAGTTTTAAAATCTAATGTCACAGGGTGGAGGGACAGATTGATAACAGGAGCTTTGTTTATCGAATCAACTGAAGAGAATATATGTAATAGGAATGATTCAACACCTGTCCACCCAGATATCTGGAAAATTCTACTACCCCCAGGACGACAAATAGGAGAGGACAAAGAAAACTGTAAAACTCAAGTTTCGAAGTCGTGTGGTTTTTACTGGTGAAATGATTATGAACAATAGATTTTGTTCGAAACGTCATCCAGTAAATAATACTGTTTCATTGTGTGATACATATATTAAACAAACCAATAAGGAATAACCTACACAATTACATCAAAAGAGTGCTGAAACACCCAAAAAACACCATCATCAAAGACCACAAGTTCGCTCTACCATCCGCATAAAGAGTATCTCCGAAATAACGACTAGAATACTTAGACCATTTGAGGAAATAGACTTTAGCACAAATGGCAACAAAATCAATTTATTCAATATTGTGGAGACTGAAACATCCAACACCATTTACAAAATAAATTGAATGAACTGTGATAAACACAACGCTGGTCAAAATGTGCGTCCCCTTCGAATCACAATCCAAGAACATAAATCATCAGCTGTGAAGAACGCGATTTGTATTCATCATTCACATCGATGATACACGTAGGAAATTAAGGACACCAATTTAATGATTGGGAGAATACAGAAATTCCAAACAGGAAGGGAAACACCATAAATACTACCAGAGAAGTTCTAGAAGCCTGTCTGGTACTCAAAAGAATCAGCGATTAACAAACACATCCCTTAGTATAGATCAAATTTACCAACTAATAAAAAATAAATCACCACATGACAAGAAAGTTCAAATTCCAATTGAACAAAAATGATCAACAGAGACGTAAATTAACAAGCAACCAATCATCACGAGACAATGGTTGTCACAAATATAAATACCATTCATGCAGAATTCGAATAATTTCATTTCATACTAAAAAACTTGCACTGAAGCTGTTGTCTAGAAAGACGACAACAATAACAACAACAACAGGCTTCGCAATTAAATCGACCAGCTCAGATGACACAATTATTCATCGATTAGTTTTAAACGCAAACATTGGTGCATCATATTTGCATCACAAATATATCATGCAAAATGGAAAGATAACTTAAGGATTACAGTATGAACAAATGAGCAACCATATGAAGTGAACTGATGTGGACAGAGGCATATATATAATGTTAACAATCAGCTAGAGAAACCGTGATGGATCGGACAAAAGCTACTGTCTACAAATTTTTCTGAACACGCACGCCTTCACTGAACCTCAAAATTTCTTTTACCCGGTGTAATTTACTTGATGCCACACTGATAAAATGAAGAAGAAACTTCAACGAGTACTTTTATTCCGAAAAGGAATGAAGCATAAAACCAAATCCCAACGAAATGAAACGTCAGCGTCGTCGTTGTCGTCAGTCAAACCACTTATCCTCGGTGACCCGACGACTAATACACTGTTATCAAGTCAAACATGACGCTGATTGATGACGGCGATGTTTGATTTTCACAATACTTGACTATGTAAAGCATTACACACTGCCATGGAAGAAGTATCCAAAACATACATGAATAATTCCTCATAACAGCGTTCCCTTTTATTGTCCCCCTTTCAAGTGTAATAGCAAAATTGGGATTATTGCGAAAGTGTCATGCTGTTGTCCACTAGTGCGCATGGGCGAACCATACACAGCAAAACAAAAAAAACCTTATGAGAATATATTTCATGAAATAAATATTGTTATTTAACGCATAAAGGTGGTTTAAACTGTCTAATTGCCAGCTAGGGCTTCCACAAACTTTAGGATATGCCCTACCCCAAACACGTTTTATAGATAGGTTTAAAAGATGTATTAAAGTCAATTTTATGTCGAGTCTCCATAATATGTTTCGCAGTAGAAGAGCTAGGTTTCCTGTTCTCACACCATTAATGGTTTCTGAAGGTTCTATTTGTTTCTGGAGCCATTTAGGAATATGCTCTGAAGCCAGCCAGCCCTTACTTGCAGAGATCGATGAGTCCTCCCCCCCATGTGTATGTGTGTCCACACGTAGATCAAAAACAATTCGTCATCACACTAAACTTTCCCTTGGTAAACATTGTTATGTCTCTACTACACTACTACTACTACTAAGAGGCAAAAAAAGACGTGACGATATCAGCAACAAAAGAAACTCACTTAATAAATGCATAGTAATGTCCACCGTTAATTGAACCTGAATGCACCATAATTGAAAATAATTCATAGACTAGAGATGAATCGGATGTATTGGATTGCACGTCATAATTCGATTCAGATGTTCCAGGATTATCATCAGTGCTGGTGGTAGTAGTAGTAGTCGTAGTAGTGGTAGTAGTTTCATTAGTAGTACTATTATCATTCACCGACCTAGATGTTTTAAATTTTTGTGGTGAACGATTCTGAGGACTATGACTTCGATGACGACGTTGCTTCTTCTTTCTGTTACGACATTCATTGGTTAATTTCATTTGATGAACAGTAGTAGTAGTAGTTGAACATGAGCACGAAGGACATGTACATTCAGAGGCTATACCATCGTCTAATTCATTAGAGGATGAATAGATTCTATGGTTAAATGATTCAGTATTTATATGATTATGATTACTGTTATTGTTATTATGATTACGTTCGGTTAAACCATTCATATTTTGTTGTACACTTAATACAGCTTTCATTAGAACAGAATTATTGGTAACTGTATGCGTTGCATCTACTCCGAAATCTGATAAGTCATCCATTTCTTCTTCGACATTTGGTGAACCAACTGTAGGACTACCCGAAGATACACCATCGAATGGACTGTAAATAATAAATATATATACATTGTATTAATAAAAATTTGATGCAAACATTTTGAAATCAAAAGAATTGTGTATCAAGCATTGAGTAGGTATTATATCACTTTAATACGCAGGATAGACTAAATAACTCCTTCACAAGCATACAACTTAGCACAGAAGTGCAGATGTTCAAGTTGCTATATGCATTTGCGCCATTGAAAATGTTTTTAGACCGATAGTCTCCAGCTAGCCAGTAGTCCTCGGTTCTCGGCATCCCTAGAACTACAAGTTCTCAGCCTACCTCGTTACGTAGCTAGCTAGCTCGCAAACCAACTGCCGAACACTTACCTCATCGACTGATAACATCAGGTTTTGCTATGACCAACCTGAACTCTTTTCTAACCTTATTCTATGTCAGCTAAAAACGGTCGATGAGGAAGGCGATGGCTGAGTATTCGAAACACGTGTTGCCGTAGCTATTTCAATAGATAAAGCTTCACTTGTTGATTTACCCTCCTTACCTAAACACTACGCCTAACCTCACCACATTATACGACTTAACACGGGAGATAGGACGCAGACACAATGGCCATGAGCTATAGTTACCAAGAACTGCCAAACATGGGTTGAGTTAGATATCTTAGACCCTACGACAAAGGCTAACGAAGTCAGCTATATCTGCCTCGTCGGACAGTTAATCTATTTTAAATATAAGATGATAAAAAGCACCAACGACTATATTATTACTCCCATAGGTTCCGACTAGAGCATAGAACTTCAACAGCACATCTCTATTTTGTCCTGTCGTCTGGTCCCATGATTGCCCATAAGCTTTCATTTCCTCCCGACACGATCTTCACGTCACGCTAGGACCCACGCCCAACTTGCCCTTTCTCATTCTACTTCCACTCGAGTGATGGCCCGGTGGGCAGTATCATTCAACGGTTTCCTCCGTGGCGTTTGCTCAGCCCATATCCATTTCTCTCTACATATTTGTTGAGCAATGGGTTCTTGGTTGGTCCGTCCCTATAGTACCTGGTTGACAGTCCTTCCAGGCTGGACATCTGACCTTCACTATGAAGTCAGAGAAAGTCTGTAGCCGGTTAGAAGGGTTTTTCTTGATGCAACGCGCCAAGTCTCTCAACCATACAGAAGCACAGACTAACTTAATACTAGTGTTGAAAATCCGAATTTTGTTCCATTTGCTGACTGTGTGCAGAAGATTTCCAAGCTGATTTCAGATTGACGAAGTTCTGTCTGTATGGACTTTCACATCCTGACTGACTGATGGGCTTTGACATTCTCATCCGTGCTGTCCCCACCTGTAGTTCGAAGGATGCTAACTAGCCAGATAATAATTGAAGGAAGTGACCTCTTTAAAATTTATTACGTTGATAGTAATTGGTGGTTGTTGGTAAAATCGTAGCAAACTGGTGTTAAGCAATATCTCCCAGAGGTAATGCCCAATTATAGTTAAAGGAAGCGGAAGAAATAACAGGTACCATTCTATGCCCCATCACACTGACAGTTGTAAACATTAATATATAGAAAACAATACATTTTTATTCCATGCATTATACCAAAATTAAAATTAATTTGATACAACAAAACTTTTAAATTATCAATTCATCGATATTGAAATTATTATTATTACTTATTTTCATATATTACTCGTCCATATATTATGCATTCAAATCTGGCTTCACCAACTCCAGTCTGAGGCAAGTGGAGGCAGCCCTCACAAAAAGCAGTTCCAACAGGCCAGTGAAGACTTCTATCAACACCTAAACCTTCGCTGGCTCCTTACTGAAGATCAAATGACTGGCTGGTCAGAGAAAATTCGCAACAGGAAACTTTGAGAACAAGCCAATCAAGAAGCTATTGCCCAACAACTATGCGGAAGAAAGTGGGGATTGACTGGACACACACGCCACTGTCGAATGAGATCGCGAACCAGACCAGCATCACTCGAATGGAACCCGAATGGGGAACGACGAGTTTGGCGGGGGTCCGAGGGTGACATAGAGATCGTACGAGATGACAGACTATGGGCGATCGCGTGGGGCCAGCTGTGAAGAGGATCACAGAGAATAGGGGCGAACTGGAGACGTGCTGTTGCAGCCTTGTGTTCCACTCGGAACCGATGGGAACAATACTAGTAACAATAATATGATCATACAATAAGTGTGCGACACACATAGGTTTCGGCTAACAGAGAATGCAAGAAGCACAACAGTTAAGCTCCACTTTGTTAAAAGTCATGGTTATGGATATTACTGGTAGGTTTAGGCTATGTTTTCTTTTCTGGAAACGCACAAATGATAAACACTCAACTTGTAGATAGATAAATCAAATGCAGAAACCACTAGCTACAAAGCGTTTAGCATCGTAGATAGCAATAGCAACTAGAAAAATAAGTACGGGAAACTGGTGAGGAAAGTCTTAAGTCCTCATCGGTTATTGATAGACTACACGAACGATTAATATCTCCTGTCTCTCACAGTAAACTTGAAGATTTCCAAGCGAAAATCCACAAGTTGGCAAAAGAGGCAGCGAAGACAGAAGTTTAGGTTGATATAGAGAAAACACAGTCGACAAAGATGATTCAAACCAATAAGAATAAACACCAGTCACCATCACACGGAAAAAAAGGGCGTTAAAACTGCCAGCTACGATCGAGGAATCAAAACAGGTAGAACAGAGAATCAGCCAGCAATCTCTTGCCCAACAAATATGAAGAAGGAAATGTAGGGGAGTGGACATATTCCCAGGAGACCTACTAGTGAATTCGAATGGGAAACGACAAGTTGGGAGTTTGATGGGGAAATAAGGGAGATCATTTGGGGGAAGAAATGAAAGCCTGAGGGTAATTCCCTTCGGTCATACATGATTTCCCCCCCCCCCTAGTCTAGCCTACTTTAACTTTTTAACGACTGACTGACTGACTACGCAATCACATGATAAAATATCTCCAAAACATCGTATTCTGGTATAATAGTCACATTACTTTCAGTGATTGGCGACACCAGACAACTATTTAGGCTTATCAGGGAAACAGGTGGCAAAAGGCAAATGATAAGTGAAACAATCCCGGAGAAAAATGGCACCATAATTAGCTCCCAGGATAGACGACTGGAGCGCTGGAAAGAACACTATGAGGAGCAGTTTAATTGGCCCACAGCCACACTTAACCTGCCGAACATCCAACACCTCCCTGAATGGGATATAGACACAGGTCCTCCGTCCTTAACTGAGGTTACTAAAGCTGTCACTAATCTGAAGCAAGGCAAAGCAGCGGGACCTGATGGATTGACTCCAGAGGTATTTAAGTACGGTAGAGACAGTTTACTGTCTGCATTAACTGAGGTTCCGAACACCTTGAGCTGCAATCTACGAATATTTGGCATGCGATTCGCTCCCACCAAATGCAAGATGATGTTACAGGATTGGACTACACCGACTCCTAGATTAGAAATAGGAAGTGAAGTGGTAGAGCACGTTGACCGCTTCACTTACTTGGGAAGTACCATCAGCCAACCCCAACGGGGTTGATCTCTGACGAAATCTCAGCACGGATACAGAGGGCTAGTTTCGCATATGCAAGTTTACGCCGTCTCTGGCGTAGACGTGATATCCGACTATCGACCAAAGGGCGTGTGTACTGCTCATCAGTCCGCTCCGTCCTCCTTTATGGCTGTGAGATCTGGTCATTGAGAGTGGAAGACATGAAAAGATTAGCTGTCTTTGATCATAGGTGTCTGCGTTCTATCTCCCGTGTGAAGTGGTATAATAAGGTGAGCAATATTGAGGTTAGGCGTCGAGTGCTAGGTAGGTGGGAGGGGAAATCAATCGACGAGGTTGTGAAATTACATCGACTGAGATGGTTAGGACATGTGTTACGTATGCCTAGTCATGGAGTGTGGCGACTTGAAATGCCGCACATATGTGCAAAGTTCTATGTCGAAAACAGACAGACAGACAGACTTTCAGTGAGATTCCACGCCAGAGATAGTGTCAATACAGGTTAAAAGGGACATATGTTGTAGAACATCGGTGGTCAATAGTAGTTGTATGTGTAAAAGACAAGGGGTTTCCTTACAAAGTATGTCAAAAAGAAAATGCATATCTAATCATGCGGAATTATAATAATAGTGACATAAAAAGTAACACTCGTGAACCTACCTATCTGTATTACTATTCACACCACTATCAGTCGCCTCTGTTTCCATGCCTTCAGAACAACAATCTGAAGAGATAACAACATTTTCATTGGTAGCAGCAGGCAGACAATTATTTTCGCCATTGTTTTGTACATTAGTTTTTGTTGAACTATGCGAATACACTAATCCATGCTCGCTGTCAGCTTCAGTATCACCATGTTCTGATGTCTGCTCTTGTCTTTCTATACCAGTCTCAGAGGATTCAGATTTTTCACTTGTATTATTACTATTATTATTATTAGGAGTAGTAACGAATTCAGATAAATCGAGTCGATCCAAAGGAAATGTGAATTTATCATTTACTTTAATACGATTGGATGTTTGTGGATCAAAGGTGAAACGCATCAATTGAAGCGTTAACAGATACGGCATTTTATGAAATGCACAACCACGTTCAGCATCACGTTTACAATCGCAATAAGAACACAAATATTGATTATTGCCTTCTAAACGTTCAGGTTTAATCATTCCTCTAAAAGCGGCCTCCTGTAGTTGAAATAATAATAATAATAACAACAACAAGAACATGAAAACAATTAACAAAGTAATCGAAATAATACGCTGTACACTAACATAAATAGCTGTGTTTAAGCATAAACAGTTCGGGTTCCTTTTGTCTGGGATTAGGACTATGATTTATGTTATTTATATATTTAGAATAATCCCAGCGTGTCTTAACAAAAAATCAAAACAAGGATTTTTTTTCTGAACGTTTCACTGGGTAAGCGCCACAGCCTATTCAGCAGAATTATTCGGATCTATGGTCTGGATGCCTATAATCACATATGATTTACGTGTTTAGAATTTCTAAAGTTTCGTGTTTTAACATACTAACTCCAGAATGAATACATGTCAGTTAGAGGCGGGCTTGATTTCAAAATGCGAGATCATGAATGGATAACTAAGACAAAATAATAATAATAATCCAAAAAAATGATTAGTAAAGGCAAAGTACAGAGAGACTGGCATTCCTGTGTCTTCCCTAAGGGAACTTCTTCCAAGGTGTGCAATGAACGTTAATTTTCTGTTCAATAAAGAGATGTATATACAGTTAGCTGGTATTATCATGGGATCACCACTAAGTCTATTCTTAGCGGACTCTTTCCTGGCGAAACTAGAGAATGCTCCACGTAAAGATGCAATACACAATCTTGATTTCCTATTGCCGTTATGTTGATGCTACACTTTTAGTTTAGAAGAAAGGGAGAAAAAGGACACAATGGGGGGGGGGGTAATTCAATGAGGCACATCCTGTCACACGTCTTATCAAAGAAGAACAGCAAAATGGCTCTATCGCGTTTCTGAATGTCCTAATGGCTAGACGAACACAAGGAACAATATGCTATAGATGATTGCATCGGAAACCTACATCAATTGGGCAATATACTCACATTCTGAGTTTCACCCCTTTACAATACGAACATACTTTGGTTAGGCGTCTGGTTCACCGATCTAGAGTAGTTATTTGTTCAAATGAAACATTGAACGAAGAACTCGGTAGTATTTGTGATCTACTAAGTAGAAACGGATATCCGACAAATTTCTGAATGAAGACCCATGAACTCAGCAAGTCAACAGCCGAGGGTGTCCACGGTTCCTGAAAAATCAGCGTCGGTGGCACAGTGGTTAGGACTCTCGCCGACCATGCACATGGTTCAGGGTTCGATCCCCTGCCGACGCACACCTGATATTTATCATCGGCCTGCAAAATTTGGGCTACCGATATCACATGCTGAAAATTCCATACCAGTACCGAAAAATACGGTGTGGAATCAAGCTGTAATCAAGAAATCAAGAAATAAAACAAGTTGTTAAGACTGCGATTCACGGGAGATGCTAATAGTGAGATCTTATCAAAGCCTCTGAGAAGTGCCTTCATAAGAACTTTTAACGCAGGCCAGGATATACTGTTTAACTGCTAACCAACAAATACTAAGTTCAAGAAATAAAGACAAACTACCTGGCTTCGCCTCTTTCATGTGTACTTAGCAGTGTAATGCTCGTGTGGAGCTAGTTAGAATGTGGGAATCTGAGATGGCCACAAGACTGGTGCAGAGTCGTTGATTGCCCCAGGCTTTAAAAACGGAGACGAGTCTTTTGGTGAGGATGATAATAATCGGGGGATCAGTTTGACTAACACAGTACTCAATAATCATGTGTAGTAAAGACGGTGTTCAGAAGAAATCCGTAAAAACCAGGAGGGCTTCAGGTCTGGGAGACGGTGCACTTGTCATATTTTTACACTTCGAGAGTCCCTGTAAAATAAGCATACATCTGTTGACCCGAAATATACATTTGACTCCACTGACCGACTCCAACCACCGCAGCCTTGTAAGAGATTATGGAAAGTTGCCCTATGAAGTAAAAAAATAACCAGTGGTAACCGTCATAGATGCACATTACCTCCATTTCTGCTTAATTTCACCACAGCCATATTCCAGTGGAATTGACCCTGACTTTAACGACTCAGGAAATGACTTTTTACTAGGGAACGGTCTTATAGATGTGGATTATAAAGAGGATTTAGTCCTTCTAGACTTCTAAACACACTGAACAGTAACCTCAGAATGTCTGACTAACCCTTGGTCAAATGTACTGTGATACTGTTGTAGGACTGACTGATCTGCATCGATTCTTAGCCTAAAGACTAATTCCTGACGAGATAACAGCACGAATATAAAACAGCACCTGTGGCATTTGTCAACTCGAATCATCTGTGGCGCAGACATGATATTCACCAGCTATCGATCACAGATTGTATGTATAGAGAGCAGCAGTTCGCTAAGTCCTTCTTTATGATAGTGATATATGGTCGTTGAAATAGGAAGATAGGCAAAACCACAGGTGTTACCTGGTAAGACTCTTTTTAAGTAATATTCTGGTTAGGTATAGACTGTTAATTCCTTTGCATACCCCAGACCACATGTGTGGTCGGCGCCAGAGTTCTACCACTGAACCTCCAATGCACTTGAAACAATCAAGCACGCATTTGCTACATACGAAAGATATTCATATAGGTTACTTAATGAAATATATCAACAACAACAACAAAAAAGAGTAAAAAAAAGCACTACTTACTAGACTTTCATAAGGCTTAGCATTTAATCCATATGGTCTTAGGGGAACTTGAATATCTAAAAATGTATCCGGTCGCCAACTAACACGATTGCAATACAAACAACGAACATAATCAGATCGTTCACCTTGATAGAGTCGATTAATCAAGTTGAATGTTGATCCTGAAGTTTGCCTCTTTTTTAGATCATTATCATCATCACCATCTTGTTGTGGTTCATCATCAGCAGACTTCTTATAATCGTTATTATTATTATTATCAGTGATGGTAAAGCAATTGCCATCAGTGTAATTTTTATCTTCAGACGCCGCCTTTGTACATCCCAATTTCTTTTCTAAAGCTTCAAATAAAATTCTGCACAGCTCATGAATATCTTGTTGTTGTATGACATCACATGAACGCCAACCGAATGAAGTGGTCACACCATTTGTACTGATTGCTGTACTTTCTGTAGTCTGAAGCAAATTGTAAGACGAATTAAAACAAACAAAAAATCAATTAATTAATCATCTTAAAATCTGAGATTTAAAGAAAATACATGTGCCTAATTTCCAGGTGGGGAGGGGGGTGCTATTAAGCCAAAATGTCGAAATACCGAAAAGATGGTAGACACTTCAACAGTGATTCCCATAGGATGTTCTGCATAGATATAATCATGTTGAAGGATGGAGTGACAATAAATCACAACGGCATACAGCAACGGTAGTAATAACATAGAGAATTGGTTCTCTCTTCATATGTAACAATACTATGTTGACCACTTCACCTATTTGGGAAGTTGTATCAGCACCAACGGATTGATTGGTAACGAAATCTCAGCACGGATCCAAAAAGCTCGGGCTACTTTCGCTAACTTACGCCATCTCTGGCGTAGGCGTGACATACGACTATCAACCAAGGGACGTGTGTACTGCCCAGCAGTTTGCTCCGTCCTTCTCTATGGCTCTGAAACATGGCCAATACGAGTTGAAGACATGAAAAGGTTGACTGTTTTTGATCATAGATGTCTACGATCTCTTTCTCACGTTAGGTGGCATAATAAGGTAAGTAATGTTGACAGTTAGGCGTAGAGTGTTGAGCAAAGAGGAAAAATAAATCGAGGAGGCTATAAAGTTACATAGATTGAAATGGTTAGGTCACGTGCTGTGCATACCTAACCAACGCCTCCCCAGACGGGCATTACTAGCTGATATAGGTGCAGGTTGGAAAAGAGTAAGTGGTGGCCAAACAAAAACATGGCCTCATCAATCCATGAAATCCTTGACAGTTAAACTGAGTCAGGTAGGGAGATGCAGACTTCCGGGTTGGGGCCCTCGGGACTCTAAGAATCAATGATGGCTGGAGACAATAGGTGACATGGCTCAAAACCGTTGTCAATGGCTTACGCAGATGTATTCAGTCTCTGTAATCTTTCATATTCCTTTCTACCATTGCTCATTCTGTTTCACACTTTTACTTGTCAAAACACTATTAATTCTCTTCACTCATTTTCTTGTCTACTTTTGTGTGCTATTTGGAACGTGGCAACTGGAACTGTTGCACTTCGGTGCCAAGTTCTATGTTGAATCCAGGCAGGCAGATGTAACAATACTACGTCATATAATATAGTTTAGGTTATTAGTTTACATGTAAATCCTATACGAAGACGAGATATTTTGGAACGCTGAAAACTTCTGTACTGTGTATTCTCAACACTGATACAGATAGCTCATTTGGCATTTGCCAACTTACGCCACCGCTGACTTAGTAGACGTGATATCCGGATGGCTGGCTATCGATCAAAGAACGTATGTACTCCTTAGTAGTTCGCTCCGTCCTCCTTTTTGACTATGAGTGAGACATGGTCATTGAAAGTGGAAGACATGAAAAACCTGGCTAGCTGTCATTCATCATAAGTGTCTGTGTTCTGTATCGCGTGTTAGATGGTACAATAGGGTGAGTAATAATTCAGGTTAGGCCTCAATTGAGTGCTAGGTAAGGAAGGTAAACCGATCGACGAGGTTGTGAAGTTACACCAACTGAGAGAGACGGTTAGGATATGTGTTACGCATGCCTAGTCATCCATTGCCTTCCCCGATGGCTAATGTTAGCTGACATAGGATCAGTTTAGTAAAGAACTAGTGGTGGTCAAAAGAAAACATGACATCAGTCAATGAAATCCATAACGGTTAGTTCAAGCCGGACACGCAGGGGGGCGGTGTAGACTGGCTAGCTGGTTGGTAAGAACCAATGATAGCTGGAGACAACTGGTGATACGGGTCAGAATCGTCCTGAATGACAGAGCAGATGCATTCACTCTCTGCGATTTGTCATATCCAATAGAACTCTATTCTTCTTCGATATTACTGCTATTGTTTTTCCCTCACACACACACTTCTATTTATCATCTCTCTGTTGAACCTCTCTTTACTCTCTTCTCTTGCTTTGTGCGGTACATGGAGAGTGATAACCCAAACTGCTGCACATCTGTGTGAAGTTCTATATGTTGAAAACAGTCAGCTAATGTGTTTACAAAGTGTCTGAAATAAAGATTTATTATTATTATTATTCACATTCAGATACTTTGCCAGCACGAAAAATGATTTCATCCAATTAATTACCTGTAATTGAACAAATAAACGTTGAAGTTGATACGGGATACTTGTAACCGCTTCGGTTGAATTGCCTTCAAAACGCCAATGGTATAGTGCATTACGAAATTCTGGAGTCATGAATAGTGTTTGTAATAGGCTATTCATATAACACGTCATTCCAGAATTGACTAGTCCAACGAAATCTAAGGATGATATTATAGATATATACACACACACATAAAATGATAAATGATACTGAAAAATAGTCGTGAGATTCTTTAGAGGGGAAAGTAAGTAAATCCATTTAACAACACTGTAGGTTTAAATGAATTTATGACCTACAGATTGAAAGTGTTCAGGCAATAGACAAAACCTTCACATAATAATTGTTACATAACGAAAACTACTCAGAGGACAAACGAGCATCTCTGAACTCTGTAAGTCATTTGTAGACCTTGAACAGATGTGCCAGGAGCTGCTACGTGAAATAATATGAAACCAAGTAGTGAAAGAGGAACTCCTTTAAACCTGGTGCATTTGTTGTTCATGCTATGTTCAAGTTTATTAACGGAGGGATTTCAAGTTTGAACACGGACTATTAATCAGTTAGAGAACCATTGGAAACCAAGGAGTACTAGATAGCTGTTCCCTAGTCTCCAGTGGTTCTCTTATAGATATCACTTCGTGGAGAAACTTGAAAAAAAAAACAATCAAATCCTTACAAAGAAACTCATGAAAATTAATCTGGTGCTCGATTGTAACTGGCTACAGTACGAAGTTGCCTAGAGTTCTTTCTGGTGAGAAGTCGTGATCAGTAGGGTCCACCCGGTCGGCAGTAAGAACAGATACTTTCTGGCAATGACATCGGCTGACATTGGTACTTGTCGCGCTAAAAGTCAAGAATTGGCAGAAGTTAGGATTGATGGGTGGCCATTGAGTCGGGTCCCAATAGCTGAATGGTCTACGAGCTTGACTTGTAAAGTGAGGGCCTTGGGTTTGGACCCAGGTGGTGGGTAGGTACTGGCGATGAGTCCCAAACTAGGATGAAACAGCTGTCCAGTGCTCCAGTGTTGATTTCCAGCGGTTTTATGACTGATATCAGTCCCGACCGAAAGCTGCTACCTTGACGTGGTGGTCGGGCTTGAACACCGCAATGACGCAACAAGCTATACTGGCTGAGACTTATGTCGCTTGAGGTCCTACCATGCCAGAAAGGTTGTTTGGATAGCGGTTAGACAAAAAGCAGTTACCCAACCCAATGCGTCGGTGGCACAGTGGTTAGGACTCTCGCCGACCATGCACATGGTCCGAGGTTCGATCCCCTGCCGACGCACACCCGATATCTATGGTCGGCCTGTAAAATTTGGCTACCGATATCATGCTGAAAATTCCATACTTGTACTGAAAATACGTGTGGCATCAAGCTGTAACCAAAAATAAAAAATAAAAATATGACTCAAAATAAATCACAAAATATCATGCCGGATCTGTCGGGGCCCAGATTAACAACGACCGCGCTTTCTGCTGCTGTGTCACAGGGCAGAAGTGATAAATATGCTTCTGAGACACACCAAATGAAAAAGAACAAACAAAAACAGGCCGCATGTGACCGGCCTCAAGCAGTTGTCCCCTGGGCTCTGCGGTCACGCAACCGTGGAGAGACTTGGAACAAATCAAACACCTGCAAATAACTTTTGAAAGTGGGGAAATTTGGAGATTTTCAGTAAAATTGACAAACAATTTCAAGCTTAATGAATTTGAAATATGTACATCACTCAGACACTATTTTTCTCCTCTGCCTTACTCCACCCTTCCATATCTAATAATCTCAGAAAAACCAATAAAAAATGGAGTTGACAAAATTCTCAAAGCCGTAACATGTAATTACCTACGTGATAGATTCTTCATAGTTTCTAAATTACAATAAATCAGTCGAGAAACTTGTTCACATGACCTCTTCCTTAGTATATTAATCCGTGCTCTTTAAAATAAATAAGAAATTCTTAAAGGTCTTCGAAATCACTAACTTTTTTACAACTGGTGTTCAACTGTGTTTCATTGGATAAGGCGCTCAACATCCAACTCGTGAGTCACAAATACCAATAGAGCTCCACCTAATAAGTGCTTGCACAGCTCAGTGGCGCCACTATACCTCACAGTCATTGTGGCTCATTGTCAATTGTATAGAAGTACAAGTGATTTCCAAATAATATACACATGTATTATGACAAACAAGTTTAATTTATCAGTGGAATCTTTAAAATTCTCAAAAACAGGAAAAATGAATATTTAAAAGGTAACACAAATACTTTTGAATTAGGCTCATCAAATAGTTATTTTTCTGATGATATTAGATAGTTGGAGGCAATAGGCAGGAAGACTTAGACCTAGGTTACGTGCTAGTTGGCACTCACAGTCATCAAGGCGTATCTGCAACCTTGAAGGAACTCATGTCCCCTTTGAGATTCGAACCCGCGTCACCAAGTGCTGCAGTCAGAGATGTTACCACTGAGCTATTCGGGCTCGCGATTGACCTCCTGTAAGACTGTAATGGGTATTTTTGATTGGACACTAGTAACTAGTGTGACGTGTCTAGCCCTTTCCTTGGTGCAGACTGAATTCTATCAGTCAGGTTTGCAATGTGGCCACCATTCTAGGTAGCTCGCCGTCACGGTGCACATTGATTCGGCTGGTTAAATATGAGCTAACTAACGAACTGACCGCAAATTAGTTCGGAAACTACTTCAACGTTATGGAGTGCAGTATTTCAAATCTTTATCAACCTTATTATTCAACAGCTTTATGACAATGCCACATGCCGGGTGATCCACAACAGAGAACTCAGCAAAGCCTTTGAAGTGAAGACAGAAGAAATATAAGGCTGTCTGTTATCACCGATGATGATTTTTCTAACTGCAGTAGACTGGATTTTGCTGGAGAGTGTGGGAGCGAGAAGACAGGAATATGTTAAACCGACAAGAAAACTCTAGAAGGTCTGGATTTCACAGATGACTTATGTTAAATGTCACACAAGCTCGAATACCTGCAGGAGGAAACCAATAAACTGTCAAAAGAAGCACCGAAGGCATGAATAGCAGCGGAATAAATTTCAATGTGGTTACTTCTTTTACATATCTGGCTAGTCAGCATTCTTCCACCTACAGGCGGACAGAACAGATGACAATGTCAAAGCCAGTCAGCTAGAATCGGAAATGCAAGACAGACAGACCTTCATTGGTCTGAAATCAGTTCAGAAATCTTCTGCACTCCGCCTCAACACAATTCGGATTCTGCTCAACACCAACGTCAAGTCGGTCAGTCACTTTTTTCTATGCGAGTCAGAAAATTGGCGCTTACGTCACGAAAAGGATGCATGCATTTCCAACAGGTCAGTGCAGACTTTTATCAACACCTGCCTTCGTCGTCTCCATATTGACGATCAAAAGACCGGCCAGAAAGAATTAGCAACAGGAAACTCTGAGAACAAAGCAACCACCAATAACCTATTGCCCAAGAAATATGCAGAACAAAATGGTGATGGATAGGACTTAACACTCAGTAAACTGATGAATAACATCGCCCACTAGGCCATCACTCGAGTGGAACCCGAATAGGAAACGACGAGTTGGGCGTGGGTCTGAGGGTGACATGGATAAGATCGTTTCAGGAGGAGGAGGAGATGGGAGACTATGGGGAATCGGGTTGAAGAGGACAGCAGAGAATAGGACATAGTAGAGATGAGCTGTTGACGCTTTATGTTTCACTTGGAACCCAAGGGAACAATAATAATGATAGCGCAATAGTTTGTCTTTTTGTAAGAGAGAGAGAGGAAGACAATTAATAAACGAGGGAATTACAATTCCTATATACAATTAATTATGTATTGAGATTCTCCATTAATTGTTTACACAGCTAGCTAGGAGCGAATGCTTAAAGAGGATATCTTAGTGTTTCTTAAAGAAAAACAAAGCAAATTTCCAGATTTCAAAACATTCAAGAAAGAAGCTTAGTTTATTTACACACACACGTCTCTATAGACAAGCGAACGGATAGATTAACGTAGAACTCAATTTGTAAATGGGAGCATCAAGTGCATTTATATGCACTTGTCATGCGCAAGGGTTGATGATACTATTTAGCTGTATAAACCTGGATATGTGAAGGTTTCGAACCCACGAATTGGTACATCAGTGATCCGAAAAAGATTGAAGTGCTTGCAACACCATCATTATGAGCTAAATAAAATCTTACAATTATAGACTGAGACGCAGAGGACTACTGTGTAGTACACACCAGTATTTTGATAGTTGGATACCTTCCCTATGTAACAGATGGTAATGGCAGAGATGTAGTCAACAACTCTACTCAAAGGTGATGTAACTCTCTGGATGAACTAATTGATCAAAACATTGGAACACTTTATTCGTTACATTTAACTTAGAATTTGATGCAGATTACTTTTGCAACATTGTCCTGCACCTCCACGCTGTTGCAACATGAGATTTTTTTAAAGGACTTAATAAGGAACGTGAATTTTGTGAGCGTCGTGTAATTAGTGAACATCAGTTAGATGCTTATCGGGGGTCAAGTCAACTCCTTAACCAATTCTCACATTCCCACATTCAACGGAACCAAGGTCGCTAGAGTTTAAGAAATGTTCAGTCAGCACATCTTTTCTACGGAGTCTTTTTAATAATACCATCAATTGTTATAATGGCAAATGTATGATGAAAAGGTTATCTAATTATAACTTCTTCACATAATAAACACAATTTCATTTTTTTTTCTTAATGCAAATAACACAAAACATTAAAAAGTGTAAAAGTATTTTAGGCAAAACCAGACAGCATACTTTGTGGGATTGGAGAAATAACTGTATCCGTACGTGGAACTGCATTAGCCGAAGAGGATCTTTCACAGGATGAAGGATCAGCTAACACAATATCAGTACAAGTGTTAGGTTTCTGTGTTGCACAGGGATCCGAATCTGTGTGTTGCATACAGCTTAAGCCAATAACAGAACCATCGTCTTCACTATTCGATGTATTGTTCGGTTGCTGAGATTCATCTGTAAGGCAATTAAGAAAACAAATTTTCTTCAGTTGATTAGTACCAGGAATATTAATCTCATTTCTGATAGTACGTCTCACTTACGGCTTGAAAATCCTCAGTGGGCCTGGAGTTTCGTAAGGTTTGTGTTGAAAGCACCAAACCTTTTGACCCACGTCTACACCACTCGTCTGAAGAAAAGAATCTTGAATTTTCAGATTCACGGTTTCCTTTCAAGTAATTGCAATACTAAGAAGCAAACAATCAGTAACTGTGTGTATTGGGCTGTGGGATACACATTGTATGCAACTAGTGGAATGCTGGAATATCAGTAAGTATGATGGGTTCTGTCGGTCAACAGTTACTTAGTCGAATCACTGAACCCCTTTTCAACACTGAGCGTATGTTGTTAAATACACGACCACTGAAAGTGACGTTTCCAGTTATGGACGGTCCTGTGGTCTTCATATGTAACAGTTGATAAAGTAAGATCTGCTGACAACTAAATTTTGGGGACCTCAGCAATGACGATCAATCATGACGTGACATCAGTTCCTTTGTAAATAAATGTAAATTTCCTCTACACAATCTATGAAACATTCAGCTGAAGGCGAGATAATGTGACTTGTAGCAGCCACAGAAGCGCACTCCCATCTACTTTGAATGGATGGTCACCTTATTACGATGACACCTTGACCTCTGTCTTATTTTACTACTGCTATCATTCTGCACCATTATCACTTTAGACATTTCGACTACGTACTGCATGTTTCAACTAAATTTAATATACCTGAATTAACATCGCTTTGTATTTGAGAAAAGTCCCTTTGCTTATAAGAATTTGAATAAGCTAACCTGTAGTCATCCGTACAAGTCCTGCTGCAGAAAGAATTAAAGGTGATTTAGTTACATATATGTGACAATTTGGGCCACAACTTTTGGGACTAATGCCAATATTTACTTATACGGAACTCTATCTGCAAACACCTCCAGCGCTCAGGTGAAGCAATTTAAGCTTTCTAACATGATTTAGACCAGCAGTCAGTTATGTCTTGGTTTGACAACTTTTCTCAACCTAGCCCCACCTGAATTCACCGTGCATAACATATTTTTAACAAACTCATTGAAAATCCGAATTACTTTTATTTCCCACATAACACTATATCAAACCTAGAAATTATTTGCTTTATACAACTTTCTTTATTCACAGACTAGGAGCTGCTGCACATTAAATAATGCAGCATAACTGTACATGAGTAAAGGAGAGTACAAGGACAAAAATATTCAGCTCAGAGTCACGGAAACTACATTTTTGACAGCAGCGTCGAATTATGTGGCCGTTATTTGAATGTCCTGGGTTGATATGCCTGATGTCGTTAACGGCTTTATTCTTAAAAAACTGAAGTCAAACACAATCGCTTCATTCAGTTGAAGTTAAACGTAGTGACCGATGGCGAGGGGTAGCCTATCAATCAGGTTGTAAAGCTGTGTTGATTGAGATGGCCAAATAATTGCTTTCTTTGTGCACTGTTAGGTGACTTAGAGTCAGGTTTGAAAAGAATAAGTGGTGGTTAAGTAGAAACCTAGGGCCAGTTTAAGTCTTCACCAGTTGGTTTCATCCACGCAGGGAGGTGCAGAATGCCTTCTTGGGGACGTCGAAATGCTAAGGACCAATGGCTGAAGACTGTTGAGTTGCCTCAAAGTCCTTCTCAAAAGGCGTAGATGCATTCGCTTTGTAATATCGCAGATCCCTAAATTCTCGCTAACTTCCATGTACTTATCGTTCCTTCCGTACCCAGCTGTTTATTGCAGTTCTTATGAATTTTCTTACCGTACTTTGTGCACGATATAGTGTGTCAACTTGAACTACTGCATTTTTGTGCAAAGTTGTATGTTGAAACTAGTCAGAGATATAGTTCCTCCTTGACTCACATATTATATTTCCGATAGATATATTTTATTAAATATGTACTGATACAGATGGCACACGTAAGTCTGGGGATAATGAGTTCATGACTATAGCATACCAAAACGAAATTCCATAGTAAAGACCATCACATATCTCTAGCAACCAATCAGATGGGTCAGAAGTAGAGGTGTGTAATCTGAAATAAACGCCTATATACAATCAATGCAATGTAAAAATTAGTTACATAGTATGTTCCAAGAAAACCTCCTAACTTCTCACAAGAGTCCTCATAGTCAAGTTAAACCAATTTCTGTACATAACTGAGGTCGAATAAAACACGTGAGGAACTCAGATTCTCTCACAGAGTAGTCAGCGGCTGGAACTCCTTACCTGATTCAATAGTAACAGATCCATCGGTAAACGCTTTCAAAAAGAAACTAGATCTCCACAGATATATACCACAAGGATTAAGATAGGAAACAAGAGCCTTTTGTCACTATCATTTGAATCTAAAATTTGTCAGGATCATTAATCCATTGACTACGTAGTCTCGTTTCAGGCCGCTATAGACTACAGTCACACATGAGGTTCCCCCTTATATGACTCCAAACCTCTGTTAGTTAAGGCCAATGCTTGTGATGGAAAAAATTAGATTCGATGCATGAGTTGCAGCTGCATATGACAACATAAAAAGCAAAATTTTATAAGTTACAATACTGTCGCCTCACTGGGCAAAAAATTATATGCAAGCAATAATTCCAGTGTACTTGATCAACGGGTATTTTAAGCTCTACTCACCATCAGAGCTGCGTAAAACCTTGATCTCCAGACGATTTCGATGCGGAATTTCATCGAGCATTTCATCAGACAAGGAAGTCATCACAGGACGGGGGAGATTAGTATTGTTGCCAAATATGCAGTCCTCGTCAATATCGAAAATGCTTTCTAAATTCCCGGTCTTTGGCAATGAGTAGGGAAACTGTAGTTAAAGGACTAACATCTGAAAATTTGTCTACTTACCGATCCATTTTCTAAATAGTCAAGGTCGAAGGAATGAGAAGTTAATTTAAAGTGTTTTCGAACAAGTTGAAAGAGATTGTCGCATGATAAGCTCCCCCAAAGTCTTACAATCAAAACATTTCCAAACTCCTTTTCATATATAGATAGGACGACTGTATTTCTCGACACCATATCCTAAAACATCTAAGCGAGCAGAACGTAAACACGTGCAGTGAGTACCAGCGGTGCACCACAGAATTTCAGAAAAGGCGGGAAACTATTTGGATTTGAAGCATGGAAATTTATTAAAACGTCGGAAGTGATAATAATATAGTAAATGATAAAATTCAGAAGACTTGTTTCGGTTGAATCATATTTAAAATCTGTTAAAAGAAACTATGCAGCTATTCAGATTCAGATTTATTGGTTGAGGATAGAAGGCTTGGTGCCTATGTTAATCCTTCTCTAGTAAATTTCTGTACTTGTCCAAACCCTTCTTGAATGAATCAGTTTAGGTTGCAGACACCACTTCTTCTGGTAGTCAGTTCCAAGAGTTTATGACTCAGTGTGAGAACCAGTACTCCACAGCAATATAATTTCTCCTTGGCTTTTGAACTCTCCTGCAATGTCCTCTAAGGTGTTCCGACCTGATGAGAAGGAAAAGGGAGAATATTACGTGACCTCGTGTGAGCAAAGTGATTAATGATGTGAAAAAACATGAATGTGGTATAAACTTTGCTTCAAGAGCCTCCTACCAATCTGACGTATGGGATTAAGTTTGAGTATCAACTAGAGTTGGCAGTCAGTTATAAAGTTAAGTTTACTGTTGACAGTTAGATTAGAATGAGTGCAATCGTAGAGTCGAGATCTGAGTTTAGGATTAGGGGTATCGGATACGCAAGATCATCCTATTAAATACTCTAACATTTAAATTTGAAATTTAATAATAGACCCAAAGACTTTTACAGCCCTATAGTCTGACTGTTTGTTCATATGCGTTTCGTAGCCATTATAGTTTGTGGAGGGAAAAAGTTGAATTTGTAGTCCTTAAAAATGACATTTCCTATAAAAACATTATGTATATCTTTCGTTCGAGAAAACCAAGTTTAGCCAATCTGTGAAAGCTTCCAAAAATAAAAACTGTTAAGCGGAAAACAAAACACACGTGATTAGTCGCATATCATATTCCTTCTCTGTGATTGCCAAGTTGCCGTTATAATTACTGGTCGCATTTTAGGAAAGAAGGGATGTTGACATTTACACAAAGTGTGAGGTATACAAACTCAAGTTCTAATTTCCAAATCCTATAATATCTGTTCAGCTTAGACCAAAGATAAATCAACACAATAAGATGATCATCCAAACTACGAGATATATTCAGGGTTCATAATCGTAGTTCCATGATGGCTACTCAGCTACCTAGGGATCATGCACCAACGAACTAATGTAGCGCGACAACATGCCAAATGATGTGCATGCTTGACACGTAACTTCAGCTTAACCAGTCTACTCAAACAGAGAAGGTCAGCATCCACTGTTGAGTGAACAATGTTGTAGGCTAGTAATTTTCGGGATGGGGAGGGGTTGTTTACCGCTTCAGCATCTTTGAGAACTTGCTGGAAACTCACATCCATGATACCGGAATGAAGTAAGAGCCAATGATAGCACAACTGCTAAAACTTCTCGCATTGGCTCTTCGACACTAAGCAGCCCTCCGGTCGTCTGTTAGGCCAGTAGAGTCATCACACATATTCATCAGTTGCTTGTCCTTTGACACTCGTGCTTCATTTGTTTCTTGCCTAGCACCCAATAAACTTTGAAGACAAAAAACTAATAGATTTGTTAGAGAATGAAATCCCCGAAGGGCAGCCAAATTTGTACAGATATACGTATAGCACAAAAAGGCACATTGTAAACTAGGGTGTTCATTTTGTAATGTAGAAGAAGTAGGCATTCATTACAACGTGACTCACGTGCGTGATCGCTTGGAGCACCTGGCCGTCCAAGACGAATTCATCTTTTGTGTTGGGACAAATGCTGTTTCTACGTCGTTTTGAGTTGACATTTAAGATTTTCATTGATACAGCTTGTTCATCTTATGACATTTAGCTTTTTTGTGACTATAGTTTGCAGTGCAGTAATGTATTATGGTCTTCTTACTGAACACAGCTTGAGATATTGTTCCAGGATTGTTGTATTTTCGATTCAACTAGGATTTCGCTCTGAACACACGATGTGCTGCGAACTACTTAGGTGGCTTCCTTACTAGGTAGCTTTGTCGTGCTGTATATTAATTTTCGTCAGTTGCAGTCTAAGTAATGATCCTAATAATTAACCGTAGTGATAGCAGTACCCACGAAAATCCACTTAATGGATTTCTTTGGACCGACATTCAGATAAGATACCTTTCAAAAATTGACTCAGGCGAGACACTTGCAGCTCGTTCTTTGAAGATCTACTGTTTCTGGTGACCTTTCTCCTGCACCGATATCTACAAAGTAGCGTATCTTGAAAACACCTGTTATGTCTCGTAAGTGTCTTCAAGAAAGGGCTACAGTCTCTATTAGTGTGTGTAATGACACACGGTCGTGACGTACTGCTGCCTTTGTCCTAGCCGTTAGTTTCCATGTGCCATTTTGCATCCTGGCACAGTGTGGTTGTCCGTGGAATTTGAATGCTCCTGGGTCCCGACAACGGCTATGACGAATGCGAATGCATGCCGACCTCAGCAGTTGTTTGGTAGATTTACAGTTTCGCTATTATAATTTCAACGTTTGTTGATTTTTATCCGTTGAGCATATTTCGACTATAATGCACTCGGTTATCCACATTATTTTGTCGGCAGTTTAGTCCAAGTCGTCAAAAGAAGCCACTTAGTGTCACAGGCCTAGTTTGAAGTTGCTGAGGAGATCAAGATAATATTAATTCTTTAGAGGAGTCACTTTTTGACATTTTGTGAACAGTGAGCTCGCGTGTTAATGTAAACTTGTTTGCCACTGAACTGTTTCCTTAGACGACGTCACTCAGGTGGTTGTTTGAGTTGTTGATAATCCAGGGGATCGTTCTTCAAGATCACTGACATAAGAATCCCAAAGGCTCTACTTTCTTCCTGGATGACTGATGCGTGAGGCGACAGAGAAATGGTTCGCTGTCAGACCATGCGCTTTCCTCATGCTTGGCGTCGAATTTGCAAGGGTAATTGCAGCCCTTCTTATTGAAATAATAATATCCGTTGTACCAGCATAATACGGACTAGGACTGCAGTCACAGATGTTTGAGAAAACTCCGACACCATCAGCTCTATTTTATGGACCATCAAGATTACAAACTTCCTTCAACATCACATGCTTCCTTTATTCCTTAGCAAGTGCAATAAGTCTGGCGAAAGAGACTTTCCGACAACTGTATACATTAAATGCTGGATTATATAAGACAAGTGACATTTCCACAGCGTTACGTCTAACACTAAATCTTAAGAAAACTGGAGTTGTACCATACATATTACTTTATGTTTTATGTAAATTAGACCATTTGTAGTCCATCCTTGACTGCTGCGCATTCTTTTGTTTCAATGCACACTTAACTGGGAGCCACTTCGTGTCCAGCTGTTGTACTCTTGGCATTTGGATGCCAGGTAGCCTCAATACTGAAGATTTGTATTATAGTTACCTGAGGAATTTTGTTGAATAAAACTATGAATCTTGTAATATCTTCAACAAGTCTGGCTTTAATGCAAATCTATCTACAACAATTTCGATGTTCGGCTTAAGGCTGAAGGCTTGTACCTTCGTTTAAAGTCATACGCTCAACTGCGGTAACACAAAGTTCTTCACTCAGTTTGGCCGATTGAACAACTTTTAGGAAATCTACAATTTCAGCTTTTCATGCGTAATCCGATCAGGAACAATGTCTGAAGAATAGGAATGTAAGTGTAATTTTGGATGGCGTTCACCTTGAAAGCACAGAGAAAACAATTGGGTTTTACTTTAATCTTCGGTTGATGTCGTTCGTATTGAAGCGAGTGGTGATGATGTTGATAAAGGTTTGCAGGATTCACGTAATGGTTGCAGCTTTGATAAGTGTCTTCCGTCTACCTCGGTATCTGGGAGTAAATTGGTGAGAAATCCGGAACTCGAACAGGAATTGAGGCAGCTCAATTCCAGACTAGCAAGTGCATGTGAAGGGTGAAAGTTCACGAGATTTGAAACAGGGTGATCTTGGTGCATATTTTAAGGAGTCTCCGAGCCCTATTGTTAACAGCACGTGAGTGTCTACGGTTGACAATCTGTACTTAGATGGCAGATCTAATCAATATAGGATGTATGTTAGTCAATACCGAAGCACTATTAGGAATTAATTATGAGATTACGGGCATATTTTGACATAAGTTTTGCAGTTTTGCAGCAGAAAGGAGAGGATGGTTGTTGAGTTCTGTGTGGCCCTACCAGAAGAACTCGCCTGTGAGAAAGCTATGCAAATACTGCACGGTCTCTTTCCTCAGGATAATGTGACCGCTCGTTCACTATTTAGTGAGCTCATAAGGGATTGTCAGTCTATTAGCATAGCTAGCGATGATTTGAGGAACCAGTTAGTTAGGACACTTGAGCGACTTCGAGCTCGACCCCGATTAACTTCAACTAGAAATAACCCTCACGATTGTTGTGTGGATGTCTATCTTGCCGGACATCAACTTTCGCCAAACTACCCTCTGGCACTTTACCTGGACCCATCTAACCCAATGTTCGGGCTGTTCTTCATAATGATGATAATAATAATGATTCATATTTCGTATAAACGGGTAAGTTTACAAGAAATGCATGCCATTTTCACAGGCACGATCAGTAATATTATAAATTACAATCCTGAAGTATCATAAATTAATACTTTTTCAAAAGTTTGAATCGTTCAATTATTGTACAAGCAATCAGAACAGGTTTTTATAAATGTTAAATTATAAACCATTTACTAAGGTCACCATCGAAGTTGAGCAACAACGCAAACTTCGTTCCGTTTCCTGCTGATAGTTATGGTCAACCAGTGAATAGCGTATATCTGGGTGAGTGATATGCCGCCACGTGATTGAACGCTATTTCAGGAAGAGAAGAAAATTCTGCGCAACTGCAAAGGGTATAAAATTCAATTATGAATAATACATTATTGGAAGTATATTTACAAGATAAATACAAGAAGAA